TCCGTTGTCGAGCAAGGAAATCAATGAAGTTCGCGACATGTGGGCTTTTTTCGTCACGTTTGATGGCATCTAGGTAGAATCAGTGTAATGGTTATAATGGTTATATTTGGGTAAGTAAGAAGCTCATTTGAGAATTGTAATCTTAATATATTTTCGTGTAATTAAATATTGTTGTTCATTAAATATATTAAATGATGTTACTTTTTATATATATAATTATTTCGTGTTATATATATTATTGTTTTATTTTGTAACTAATATTAATATTATTATTAATTAATAATATTAATTTTATTATTAATTAATAATAATAAATTTATATCGATTAATAATATTATTTTATTATTAATTAAAAATACTGAAATGATTGTGAAAGGTCACTAATAATATTATTATATTAATAGTATTAGTAATAAATTATAAGAAAAAAAAAAAAACTACAATTGGAAGCGGTTTGGCGCCAAAACCGCTTCAAATTGTTGATTTTTTTTAAAAAAAATGGGATTTAGAAGCGGTTTGGCGCCAAAGCCGCTTCCAATTGTAGAGTTTTTTGTTTTTAAAAAATGGGAATTGAAAGCGGTTTGGCGCCAAACCGCTTCTAATTCTCCACTTTTTGTAGCGGTTTGAACCGCTTCCAATTCTAACTGACAATGGCAAGCCCCCCAAACCGAACCGGTTCAAAACCGCTTCCAATTATGGGGTTTGAACCGCTTCTAAATTAACATTTTGTACTAGTGTCCCTCCACTTCTATGTGATACACTTATACACTTGGGGTTTCTTTCCCTTTGATCTATGCCTTAATCCAAACTTCTCATCACCAGAAACAAAAGTTCTTTGCTCTCTTGGCCCACATCTATCTGCTTATCTTATAGTAAAAGTTGATTGAAAAAATTATGCAATCAAATATGTCAATTTTGTATATATAAATATTATATACTTCTTCTGTTTTTTTATTAGTTGACACGTTTCATTTAGGCATGCTTGCCAACACATACTTTTAAAAGTAAATATCTTAATTACGTATGTATTAGCAAAATTATAAAATTTTGATCTTTAGAAAATAGACGTTGAGGCAAGCCTTATAAGAGCCCACATGACTTCTCTCACACCAAGTCACAAAACGAAGTTAGTGTAAGTAATGTGAATAGTGCACAAAGTTAAAAAAAATGACAAAAATGGAGGAAGTATAAGACAAGTGAATCATAAATCGACATTTGTTAAGCTCACATTGATCTGCTAGTATGACATATTAATGATTGGTTGGTTATAAACAACATAACTCATTTTTTTTTTGTTGAAAGAGAGGGGCAAGAAGTAATGTGAATAGTGCACAAAGTTAAAAAAAATGACAAAAATGGAGGAAGTATAAGACAAGTGAATCATAAATCGACATTTGTTAAACTCACAATGATCTGCTAGTATGACATATTAATGATTGATTGGTTATAAAAAACATAACTCATTCTTTTTTTTTTTTGTGAAAGAGAGGGGCAAGCCCGTAAACAAACAAACTAAAACATAATAAAATAAAAACTAAAACAAACAAAGCAAAGCAACAAAGCCTAAGGCACTCTACAAGCTGGAACTAACCATCCTTGTCTGCGTCACCCCACTCAAGTCTTCCAATAAAACGGCAAGAAGATCCTTCGGGACCGCCTCAAAGAGAATAAATTTCTCATTCGGCTTCACGCCATAGTTAGCTAACCAATTCGCCGCTCGATTAGCTTCCCTATAACAGTGAGATATGGTTACCTCCCATTCCCTTTCAAAAACAAGAGTCTTGCATCTTCGAATGATGTGAATATATGGAGAGTTGGGAGGGATTTCCTCCACCAACATGCGCATACACAACCTCGGAGTCAACGATGAGCTGAACTCTCCTGTGCCCCCCATCCCATGCAACACATAAACCCTTCGACACAACTGCAAATTCTGCCCTGGTACAGGTGCAACAACCACAATTCAAGGCAAACACCTCGTGCACTTCTCCTCTATGTCCTTGTATAATACCGCCAGATCCAGCTTCACTAGGGTCGTTGCCTTTCGAGGCACCATCCGTATTAAGACGAACCCATCCTTCTTTCGAAAATTGCCACTTGATAAATTTCTCAACCCTCGGCTTCTTTAAATTTCCATCATGAAGATCAACTCTATCCATTGCCCTCTTAATTTCTCTCACCCTTGCAAGGATGAAACCGACTTGTTTGAAGGGAATGTTAGGGGTGGGCTGGAAGGTTCTGGCATTACACCATCTCCAAAGCCACCAACACACTACACAAAACACACGAGGCCACTCACTCCCTATACTAGCCTTTTGAGCATCCAGGTTATGGTTAAGTAAAATCCACTCCTCCAAGCTCAAATTCTCACTCATATAGTCATATTTTTCCTGCGCAGTCCCAGCTTGTTCCATAATAATTTTAGCAGCAGGACAAAATCGCAACTCATGATACACATGATAAACAACATAACTCATGGCTTCACAATACACATTACATAATTCCAAATAATCATAAGGATTATTAGTATTGGAGTAAATTCAAAAATGGGAGAAAATTTAAATATTGAATGACAGAGACATTAAAAATTACGGCGACTTCACCAAATGCCATCGAATTTTTCAAAATTTCACCAAATGTCATTTATGGCTAACGGTCGTTAGCTCTATTTAGTCATTAGGGTTAATGATGACACGTGTCATCTTATGAGTAGCTTTATTTAATTAATAAAACATAACATTTTTTTCTCAATTTGCTTGCCGAAAACTGTTATGTTATGTTAAGGTTTTGGGGACCAGTTTGACTCTTTATAGGTCCAAATTAAGCTCGAAATTGGCAAAAAAAAAAAGAAAAACATAAATGTCTTGTTTTGCATGTCGTTATTTTTTAACTATGAAATTTGTCCAGGTAAGGTTTTGGGTCCAAATTAAGCTCAAAATTGGCAAAAAAATTGACATAAATAATGCTTTGTTTTGCGTGTTTAGATTGTTATATTTTTTTGCAGTAAAGTTGCAAAATGAGGCTTTTATGCTATTTTTTTTCCCAATTTTGAGCTTAATTTAGATCCATACAGGGTGAAAATGACCCCCAAAACCTTACTCGATCATTTTTCATAATTAAAAAATAACGACACGCAAAACTAGATATTTCTAAACATACAAAAAGGGCATTTACGTTATTTATTTTTTGCCAATTTATAGCTTTATTTGTACCCAAAAAGGATAAAAAGGATCCCAAAAACTTTAACTTGTCAATTTTTCCCCTTATAAAATAGTGACACGCAAATCTAGATATTTTTCGACATGCAAAAAGGGGCATTTAGGATATTTTTTTGCTAATTTCGAGCTTAATTTGTTTCCATAAAGGTTCAAAATGACTCCAAAACCTTGCTCGAATAATTTCACGATTACATAATAATGACACGCAAATCGAGAAGTATCTCGACATGCAAAACGAGGCCTTCATATGATTTTTTGCCAATTTCAAGCTTAATTTGGACCCATAAATGATCAAAATAACTTCAAAAACCTTGCTTGAGCAATTTTTGTCACAAAAATCGAGAAAAAATTATTATTTTTATTAATTAGAATAACTGATTAAAAGCAAGCAATTATATCATGACACGCATCATCATTTACGCTAATGACTAATGTAGCTAACGGTCGTTAGTCATTAATTGTATTTGGTGAATTTTTGAAATATTCGACGACATTTGATGAATTTTGAAAAACGCGATGGCATATAGAGAATTTTCAAAAAGCTTGATGGCATTTGGTGAAATCACCATAAAAATTACACAAGAGACAACAAAACAGCTAAATTGAGGAAAGAAGAGAAGAAAGGATTTTTAATTTTTTGAGAGAATGAGGATAGTCATTAATTCGAGATTGATAAATACTATGCATAATTTTCTAGACTTAATTTAATTGAAAGCTTAAAGAAAAAAGAGAAGGGTTAGTTTGTTTTTGCGTTTTGTTTTAACAAAAAACCAAAACCAAAAAACCTAAATAAAATGTTTTTCGTGTTGTTAGTTTTCTAAGTAATCATAATTTCAATAAGTTTGAATTACTTTTGATTTTAATATGACATACTCCCTCTGTTCTTTTAAATGCAACACTTGAGTTTGCACATTTGCCCCGAGGCACTACTTTAATCGTCAATATTTTTAATTAGATATTAGTCTAAATAAAAAAGAATGAATTTACAAAAGTAGACATTGTGATCAAATCCAACAACATATTACTTGATCATTATATATTATACATTATTAATAAAAAAAAAAACCAAAGGTAACATATGAATAGTGCAAAATCTCAAGTGTAGCATTTAACAAAAAAACGGAGAGAGTATATCAAACAGGATGTGGCTTAAAAAAATAAAAATAAAAACTGTGTTTTAGTTTTTTGTTATTCAAAATCATATGATATATACCATATAATGAATAAAAAATTGGTCAAATTTATTAAAATCAAAATAATTTTGAAAATAGATAAAAGAAAAAGTAAAAACATCTTTTTCTTGTTTCCTATTTTTGGTTTTTTGTTTGCAAAAAATCAGAAAAATGAAAACAAAAAACTAGACCTGATCAAAGTTAGCCCGACTTGACCTAACCCGATTTTGGGCAGTTTTTTCGACCCGAAATCGAGTCAGGCCAGCTCGCTCGAATATTTTTTTTTTGGGGTTGGTTTGGGAATGTGGTTTTAAGCATTTTTAGTTGGTTTTTTTTTTGCTCGGCCCAAAATGGCCCGAAAAGTCTTGCACGACCTGGCCACTTTGGGCTAGTTAGGGCACAAGAATTTCGGCCCGAAGCTTAATCCGACTCGACCCGAAGCTTAATCCGACTCGACCCGGTCCAAGTAGTGGGCTGATTTTTTTTTTGACCTCGGTCTGCCCCGCCTAGTGATCACCTCTAAAAGAATACAATGCCAAACAACATTGTAATGCAGAAAGGATCCTAAAAAACGTTGAAAAAAAAATGTGTCAAAGACTCAAAGGAAAACAAATCTTCCCTTCTCATATCCAAAAAAAAAAAAAAAAAAAAAAAAACTTAATAAATAAATAAATCTTCCCTTCAAAGAAACGCAAAGAAAACCAGTCAACTTTACGAAGCAACCAACTTTCTCTAGGAAACTCGTCTCCCATTCAAAAGGTAACCATCTTCTCTTTTGATTCTTCATTAACTACGCTTCATTTTGATTACCTTTGATTACAGTAATTGTTTACAGTCATGGATCACTGAGAAAATTAGGGTTTCCACCGATCATTTTAAGCAGTTTAATTTCAAATTGAGCTTTTGATTGGGGAAAAAATGGCGAAGGCTGGAGGAATCACAAATGCAGTGAATGTAGGAATTGCTGTACAAGCTGATTGGGAAAATCGAGAATTCATTTCTCATATTTCCCTCAACATTCGCCGTCTTTTCGATTTTCTTGTCCAATTTGGTAATTTTATTTTTCTCCCATTGATTTTGATCTCGTTCTTCTTCTGATAGAATTATATTATTAATTTTGTAATGAATGTTTATTAAAATAGGGTATTTTAAATAGTTTGTCGTTTCGTCTGCTATTGTGATGGAAATTTCTTTGTATGACAATTGAGGCCTTGAGAGGGTAAGATTATGTTGTGGGGATTATAATTCCTTGATTTTTTTTTTAAGTGGTTTTTAGAATGGACAATTTCGTTATATAAGGTTGTTTGGATTGATGTTGTTCTTGTTTCGAGGTTTGTTTGCCTTAGCTCCCAGTAATTGATCACATCATTGTCCATAGGAATACTATCTTAAAGTTCAAAGCAAGGTGATTATGCTGTTCAAGAAGAGTAAAGTTGCTAATATGTAATAAAGGAAGAATGTTGATTCTATTGACAGAAACCGATATATAGAGGAGGTGGGGGAGTAGTGTGAGGGGAAGAATATATGAGTTGAGATTCTTGCAACGAATAAGGATCTTTTGGAAATTTGTCCTTCCATGTTCCAAGGCTAGTTATATTTGAGTCTTCTTGGTTGCAGAGGTGGTTTTTTTGGATTCTTAGAATCATAAATGCCATTTGCATGTCATTGTTCATTTCACGAGTGGTTTATGTGATGACATTTCAAACTAAGCAATTCCAACCCATAACGAGGATTAGAGAATAGAGAGACTAGGGTGAACCAGGACTAGTGGTGCTAACAGTCCGAGTGGTATTTACAAGTATTCTTGGCTAAATGGAATGAGTGTTAAACTGTCAATGATTTGTGCATGCCTAGATTTGGCTTCATGTTCTTGAATGGCAAATCCGTGTTGTTTTATGATTTTAATACAGGTCTTTGTTCTGTTCACGAACATCCTTTCACTTTTGTCTTAACCACTCCAATAGTATATAGTTTCACTTGAGGTAATACATCGGCTAAAGGAAATTCTTGTTGATTTGATGGTTAATTTTATGACAAGAGATGTATGTACTTGATCTAATAACCTTGGCGATTGAGGCCTTGTAACCCTATATCTATTTTGTATAACTCTGGCAGTTTCCTCTGTGTGAAGTTCAATTCTTCATGCTTCGAAAGTCTAAAAGAGGAACCTTATTTGAGGTTATATGCTTCGATTCTATTGTGCTAGTTTAACTAGTTTCTTATGATTTTTTTTCAGAGGCTACAACAAAGGGTAAACTATCAGCACTGAACGAGAAGCTTGATACACTAGAGCGACGTCTTGAACTGCTTGAAGTCCAAGTGAGTACTGCATCAGCCAACCCTTCTGTTTTCAAGTGATGTACTGTGTATTATCTAGGAAAGAGTTCATCTTAAAATGCCTACTTAGCTGCTACGATAGCTAATTAGATGGACAGTATGTCCTTGTATCTTCCCTGCCATAAATTCTCATTAGGAGTGATAAATAACTTAACGCTCGATTTCTTTTGTGTATCAATTATTCTCTCATCAGTAATCGTTGACTGTCCAGAATAAACAATCGTTGAAAGTGGAACATTGCTGCCTGCTTACTCCACTTTCATCTCTTTTGTTGCACTATCTTAAATTTTGATCTACAATGCCTGCTTATTGCTTTGGCGGCAAGGCATCAACGACATTGTCCTTGTCGTATATATTGGTTTAATCGAGAAAAATGGTGATTAGAATCATCATTCATAGAGAGCTTTCCAATTTCTTATTAGGACTTAAATCTAGCATTTTTATCTACCTACTCCTTTTAAGGTTAGAAATATCTCTAAACTCTTACAAGGTCCGGAACAACACTTATTAGAAGGAAAATGAGATATTGAACTTTTATAGAGCTACTAGATGCACAATCAAACTCCTTTTATATTGTTATATTCACGAGAATCAATTAATTTAGGTAATGTGTTTGATTTGTGTGAAACTTGGACAACAATATATAAATATAAATTTGAGAAATAAACTAGAAAAGAGATGAACACATAGCTATACGCCTAAACGTGGTTCGGTCAACATGACTTATGTCCACAAGACAATGGATAGTATTTTCTTAGTAGCTTTCATGGAGGACAGGAGAGATACAATAAAGGAGATACTACACTCTCTCAAGTGGAGTTATATCTTGGGTTGAATTGGCTAGGCTAAGAAACTTGAGCATAACTAATTGTCCACCCAATGGTTCCTTATATAACATAAGCAAGCCCTAAAGAAACCCTAAATTATTCCCCAAGGAATCACATTAATAGTTGTCATAAGCATACCTGAAATTAAATCTAGCAACAGAAAAGTTCGATTGAACTTCTTGTCAGAATGTTTTCAACTTTGATTGATCTTTGAAAAACGACCATAACTTTCTCGTTTTTTATCGGAATTGGGCTTATGACTAGTCGTAGGAAAGCTCTTGAAACAAGCTATTACCTTCAACTCCAATCACATCAAGATCACTTCTAGATTGAATGATATGTGCATTTGAAGTCAACCCTTCGGCATTTCACTAGATTTATAGTCACAAGTAACAAATCTCCACCTTGACTTGAACTCGATCAACAAACTAAAGTGAAAAAAAACACATGAAAGCATTTATCCTTGCTATAAATTAAATTACCAAAGAAGTCCTAGAAGGAATGGACTCTACTTCAAACAAATAATTTCAGCACTAGTATAAAAATAAATAGACATCCAACGGGTAAAGCAATAACACGTGAACAGGTGTGTCTTTGGTCACACAATCCCGTAACGCCTATACGACCTAATGAGATTAGAGCATAATGTCACAACACGTCAAGCATACTTGAGATATGCATACAAAATTGACCAATCTCTCTCCAAACCACCTTTCATTAAACATGTCTCTAGGAAATATATTAAAACTCCTAAGCACGCAATAGATACAAGGTGAACATTATTCCTTCATTTTGCATCCAATATATAAGATTGCAAAATAAACCAAATCAATAACCAAAACTCCAATCCTAAATTTGGTTTCTTAAATTCATCAACATCTCCAAATAAAAAAAATAAAAAGAATAAAAAAATCATTGAGAATTTGAAAACCATGGGCCAAAGATAAAGTTATCAATAACCATAAAGCAAACGAGACATAATCAAATCACTTTCAAAATCACAACGATTATAAAATATTTGTCACCATAGTCTCCCAAGTTATCTCCTTTAAAGTCTAGAATAACATCATCTTCAATGATCTAAAAATCTATACATCAACAAAATTTCTCAAAATAAAAAGTTGTTTTCAAGCAAAATATCAAACACTCTCCATAAACCCAAAACTTAAAATCCCTAAAAAATATAACCAAGCTCTTGATACCAACGGAGATGATGGTTCATCCTACAATCAATTGGCAATCGCTTTGGTTATAACCTCAAAGCTATTTCTTTTTAAATGTTGGACAAATAATGCTCACGCTTGCACTTAGCAATCTCCCCCCTCAAGTTTGACCTAACATAAACAACGCCTAGCTATCAGATGGCGTGAATCAAACCTAGCTCGGATATCAGTTGTTATAATAGACAGAGGAGAAACAAGGGAGAGAATCCAAAAAACCCACAACTAGAGCCCAAAGCAAGGTTTTTCATCCTAATATCGATTGGCAATAGGAGAAGTAGCCTTAGATCGAGTATGGGTATTTTCGGATCGAATATTGGGTAGCTGATATGGTATCCATGTATAAAAAGTTAGATGGTAAAATTTAGTTGTAATGATGTCATTCAACACTTATTAACAACATTACCACATGACATCGACTAATTTACTAATAATATTACTATTTATTTCAATTAAAAAGTAATTAAGAAACAATTAGGTTTAAGTGGAAAAAAAATGCTTATCAAATTGTTATTGGGTACCTGTCAATTTTTAAATATAACCGATAATCGTGTCCAATAGCAAATTATCGAAACAAGTACTTAAATTGTTACGACTACCCTACTTTTCGGATCGAATACCGAGTTGGGTTTTCGGTTTTCTTTGAATTATTTGCTTGGCCCTACTAGGTATATGTATCCCGACATAACTCCCTTGATGAACTAATTTTTTGAACTTGCTAAATTTGCTTGACCAAGTTACTCTTTAGTCCTTGAAGAATGAAGACGTTACACAAATCTGAATTTGAACATAAATGTCCTTAGTATATCAGCTCAAGTTAGCTTATCAAAATTTCCATGATATGATTTAACAAGCTTTTACATTCTTCTCACAAGTGACAATAGTTCTACCTAACAAATGTCTTGCTTTCCGTAGTGACTAGTAAATATGTAAAACAATCAAATCCCATCTCCCAAGTACTTACGGTTGTTAAGGCGTTGTCCAATCGTTATTAAGGTATTAGGTATATGTTTCTAATGGTATCTTTGATGATTGTGTTGGAATATGCTTCGTTGTAAATTTCGAATGACAAAGGTGATACTTTAAGTGAGGTTTTTATGGTGATTTAAATATAGGGTTATATAACTCTCTAGTTTTGTGCCCCGAGTGATGCCCAGGTTGATTATTAAATTTTAGGATAAACTTTTTGGTTTGAATGTTAAATACGGTCATATAATCACTATTGATAATGCAGGATATATATTTAGACATGCGATATCATACTTAAATTGTTTTTACTAAACTGAAAGTATTTTTACCGATTAAAACTTATTTTTACTAATTCACTATTATTTTAAATATATTATAAATGGAAGTTACTTTAAAGAACTTTTTAAAATGAATTTTATGATGGATTTAGAACCGGGTTATTAGATTTTTATTAAAAGTTATGATTAATTTTCTATATATGAAATATTAGTAGTGTATCGATAATAAAACTCTATACAACATTTTTAACTTCAAAAATCTATCCAAAATTTGATTATTTAGCATCATATGTGTCACAATAATACCTATTTGTCGCCTACGTGGCACGACACTTGGCGAAAAACTGGAATGCCTACCTAGTTTTGTGCCCGGGCGATGCCCAAATGGTTGATAAAATTTTAAGATAACATTTTTAGTTGAATGTTAAATACGGTCAAATAATTCATTCTAATAATGTAGGCTATTTAGACATATGATATCATGTAGCTTATATTTATATAATAGTGTACTTTTTGTAGTTTTGTTTGTAAATATATATCTATGTTATAATTGAATTGAAATTATTTTTATTGAACTTAAATTATTTTTACTGAACTGAAAGTATTTTTATCAAGCTGAAATTACTTTTACTGATTAAAACTTATTTTTATTGATTCTTTAATTTTTTTAAAATAAATTAAATAACAATGCATTTTGTATGCGGCTAGCTACACCATCTGGTCGGACAAAGTAACCCATATAAAAATGACCGAGTAACCCCTGTAATACTAACTGAGTAATAACCTCTAACAATGATTAAGTAACCCTATTTATAATACTGATTGAGTAACCCACAATAACACTAACCAAGTAACCCCTATAGCACTAACGAAGTAACTCTTGTAATAGTTGGCCAGCTACGTATAAAAGTTTATGATTAAATATATTATAAATGAATCTTATTTTAACGAACTTTTTAAAACGAATTTGATGATGTAAATAAAATTGAGTTATAACATATTTATTTAAAGTTATGATTAATTTTGTATATATGAAATATTAGAAGTATATCGATAATAAAACTCTATACAACATTTTTTATCTTCAAAAATCTATCCAAATATCGCTTGCACATCAAGGGCCAATAACTGTCCTTGTTAGATAATTTAGAGTGTTGTATGGTGCGCGTTCGCGCCCATGAAAAGCGCGACCGCGCCTGGTAGGCGCGGCCGCAATGAGAGCGCACCTAAACCGCGTACCCCTCATGGAAGATGAAAATGAGAGGTGCGGCCGCGCAAGTTTTGGCTCGCCCGCGCTGACTCCTTGTGGCGCGCCCGCGCCTCTGGTCGCGCTCAAACCGCGCCCCTCACTAGAAAATTTCATCAAAGGCATATTCTGGGTAGGAGCGCCCGCTCGTCAGTGAGGAGCGCCCGTGCCTAGTTGTGGCGCGTCCGCGCCTTATTTGTCGCGCCCGCTCCATTAGCCAGTTTTGCGGTTATTTGCTGACGGTTGACCCTCTTATAAGAGGGATTTTCGTGAATACGAAGATTAATCACAGAAAAACAGATAGAACACTAATTCTGATCCTCTCCCAAAAGAATTCTCCAATTTTCTCTAAATTTTCTTGCAAACTATTTTGAGAAAAACTTCTTGATTTTATCCTTCTTCGAGAATCATTCATCTTTGTTTTCGATTCTTTGTACTAAGAACGGAAAGGGCTGTCAATTGTATCTCAAAGGGAATTTTCGGATTAACCCAAGCACCGTGTGGGGGAAATTAATCCCTTTAGGAAAGTATTCATACGCCTTTGACAGAGTATCAAGATCATAGTCTCAAGGGACGTTGCAATTCTCATGTTCATGCTTGGTTGATTGGCTTGGAGTACAGGCAAGTGTTTAAGTCTTCATATTAGTATTCTTTTAAAGATTTTCTGTAATTTCTTTGATATTATAATACTTGATTGTAACACCTTGGTTGTGTTTGTTTGTATTACATTACATTGTTAGTGTAATCTCATTACTTAGGTTTTGTCCCACACAATTTATTAAGTGTTTTCTAGAT